TGATAATAGTTGATTAATTTTGGTACTTTCTTAAATTTTATATTATTAAGTTTTAAATATAGACAATTGTATTGATCATTTAAAAATATATCAATTTTTATTTAAATTTTGTATCGAGTCAAACTATGATAAATAAAGTAAACAGAGTGAGTATATAGTGTTTCGATATCTGCATTGAAGTTTGACTAAATTCAAGTTCGCACATTGTAGAACCCATTTCTGAGATCAACGACGTTCCAAACGATATTTTTTTCATTTCCCAAAACTCAAACTCAAAACATCATATCAAAAGTGAATAAATCTCAACAAGGTATTATTATCTTACGAGCAGTTTGCTATACTCTATTAATGTCTTTCTTTAGTTTATCATAAGCAATCGAGCAGAAGTAGGTTTCTCTCTTTCTGTTTACTTAATATGAACCCTACCCGTACAACACATGTTGTTATTTTGTTTTGTAATGGTTGTCTTTTCCTCTAGTGAAAAATATTCCAAAAGGCTCCTTCATTTTCAAGTCCCTTTGGCATTAATATTTTTGAACAACAAAACATTAATGGATCTTATGCCAAAATTGTTAAAGCTGTATTCACATTAATTAAATATCTGCATCACAATAATTATTTAGGAGAAAATTTAATAACAAAATGTACAAATATAAAACAGTGAAAGATGATAAAAAGTGATATATTTATAAAGTTTCACTTTTTGGTGTGCAGCTTTTAAGATTTGTCTCTGTGATAACTGCAAGGTGTCTGGAACTCACTTTACACCTTTTCATTAACTGTAAATAGGACTATTTTTTATTTATTTATTATATTATATAATATAATTTATTTGACCTTAAATTCGTAAGTTCGAGTGAGATGGTAAAAAAATGTTATTTGTTTCAAGAATATAGTAATTCATGAGTAGTGTTAATTTACCAGTCAAGAGATCGATCTTAGAATACCGACAAAGGAAGAAGGTGTATACTATTTTGATTTCAATTTGAATGGAGAAAAATATTATAATACGATGAAAGTCATTGATTCAAATAATTTAGTGGTAAGATTTATTAGATACAATATTTTATGATTGTACCAAGAACTTTTTCTATTGTATTTAGTGATGATTTCAATTATAGGGTTTCTAATATATTATAAAAGGAAGTGTATCATATAAATTAAAATAAATAAAGTAATTGATTATAGTAAGTCATTCTTGCTCTACTTTTTAGGTTATCATATCAAGTTTTATATTAAGAATTTCCTATTGTTCAAGCGCGTAATTATGATTTTGAAAATTTATTAATTTTTATAACGATTTCAAGTTGACATATAATAATAATTATGTAAATATTTATATACATTTGGTTAATTATTTATATATATATATATATATATACACTTGATCTAGAACAAAAACTATTTAGTTCACGGCAATTCATAAATTTACCTATTGTATTGTAGAATTCTCACTTACTATTATTATAAATAGAAAATAGTTAAAAATGTCTTTAGACTATCGCAAAAGATCTATATAAATATGTCTTTCATTCATTTATTTTGCTAAAAATAGTCTTTTGATTACATTGTTGGCTCCAATTATTAAAATCCATCCACTCGATTTTCTGACTTACCCGACTAAATTTAAATTTGTTTCAGAAATCTTATATTGGAGATAAATCACTCAAAGGCAATTTCATATACCTAATAAGGCTTGAATTCGAAGTCTCTGATTAAAAATGAATGAATACTTATCATTCGTACACGACTCACTAAATTCTTTTAACTGTTCTTTGTCAAGTATTGTGAACAACCATCAAGATCTCACTATTGTAATAGAAGATTGGACTGGAGACTGAGTGGATTGTGTTTTTCACAAGATAAAACTGAATAAGCCAAAAGATAAAAAAGGATATATTTCACCTCAAAGAAATGGTGATTTTTTTTTGTTGTTGTATAAAAGTACAAATTATAATTTTCACATGTTGACCAGTAACTTTAACTGAAACTTGTAAATACTTACAATAGGGGTTTGGACATAAAGAATGTGATATATAAAAAGAAATATATTTTTTTTAAAAATTAAGTTTAAATATTGAATTGAAGTTATGTTGAAACATATAAACTCATCTTCTATCCGTCCAATATATAAACTCCATAAAAAATATTGTGTACATAAATAAAAAATAACTTTTAAGATACATATACTAAAATTTAGAACAGTCTAACAAAAAGAATCTCAATCATTTCCATACATGTTCATAGTCTTCAAAAGAGTCAAACTATGGAAAGTCATATAAAGTTAGGTCAACAAAAGCATCAACATATATATCAAGTATAGTTTCCTAAGTGAAGTATGAGAATAATAAAGTATACGTAATCTTATTCTTATCTTTATAAGGTAAAGAGTCTGCTTTAGAAGTTGTATACTTATGCCAATACCAATAACATACTAAATATAATTTTGTACACTTCATTTTTTTCGGCCGTCATTTGTGACCCTAATTATAGTTTCATAATAGAGGTATGAGAAGAATGAAGTATACACAGATCTTATCCTTATCTTTATAAGATAAAAAGACTGTTTTCAAAGTCATATAGTTTGGTCAATACCAATAACATGCTAAATATAATTTTGAGTACACTTCACTCTTTTCAGATGTCATTTGTGACCCTAAGTATAGTTTCATAAGTGAGGTATGAGAAGAATGAAGTATCCACATACAGTTAGGTCAAACCAACAACATACTAAATATAATAATTTTTTGTACACTCTTCAAATGTCATTTGTGACCCTAAGTATAGTGTCATAAGTGAGATATGAAAAGAATGAAGTGTACGCAAATCTTATCCTTATCTTTATAAGGTAAATAGACTGTTTTCGAAGTCATATAGTTTGGTCAAACCAATAACATACTAAATATAATAATTTTGTGTACATTTCACTCTTTTCAGATGTCATTTGTGACCCCAAGTATAGTTTCATAACTAAGGTATGAGAAGAATGAAATATACACAGATCCTATCCTTATCTTTATAAGATAAAAAGACGACTTTCAAAGTCATATAATTAAGTCAACCCAATAATATACTAAATATAATAATTCCGTATACACTCCACTCTTTTCAGACACCACTTATAACACTAAGTAGTTATTCTATATCATGTCATATAGTTAGTTCATGGAGCTCAAAAATCATAACAAAATAGCAATGAAATGGAAATGTAGTAGTTAGTCCACATTTAAAGATCTAAATGCCTTTATATTAAAAGCATACTATATAATAAAATTCATCAAATACTCTAGAACTCTCTCTTCTGCCACTATAATATATAAGTCTATGTATATATGATATGATGAGAGTTTTCAGAAGAGTGAGGGGTCATATACTGTGTGTCTTGTCTAGGTTGAAAATGACTAAAGCTTCTGCATACACTTACAAATCATGGCACTGAAAAACATGGCATTTTAATGAGCATTAAAATTGGAATAGTACTATTGATAAAGACACTAGAGTAATAATATGAGTAAAAAAAAAATACATTAGTTTTTTAGTTCTATTTTCCAGCTTTTTCTTATATTCATTGGTCCACAAAAGTTAATTGAGACATATATATAGCAAGTGATTTGGTTTCATATTCTTGTGTGATATTGAATGTTATGAAATAGACTTTATGGAATACATAGCTTTAATCCTATTTCCAGCCTTTTTTTGTACTCATCATTTGGTCCACCACTCAAGACCATATAATTGCCACGAGGCTTCTTATTCTTTTTTATGAAAATTGACTTTTCAGATTTCGAGATGACGATCTATCAAAAATAATTTTTATTTCACTAAAAATGCAGGTAGATAAGATTTGTGTATATTCCGCTCTTCTCAAATTTCACTTCTAAAATTATATTGAGTGTATTGTTTTTATTATTAGCAGATTTCGAGACGAAAATCTATCAAAAATGGTTTTTTTAAATCTAAAAATGCAGGCAAATAAGATTTATGTACATTTCATGCTCTTTAAATCTTACTTATGAGGTTACATTAAGTATGTTACTATTATTGTTGACTATGAATTTGGATATCACAATTCACAACCATAGATTGTTATAATAAGATAGGTAGAATTTCTTCGTCTTTAATTAACTAGATGTTTGGATTCAAGATTTGAGTATAAAAAAAAAAATCCGCATGAAAAGTGTTTCTCCATTGTTAAGTCATACTTGACAAGTCTGAAATAATCGATGTTTCAATGCATATATCGAACACCAATAAAAAGAAATTCTCAAATATTGAAGGATTAATTATGTGGAGAGGAGGAAGTAGATAATTAATATCCATTTCATAGATATGTTCATGAATTTACTTAGGTTAGTTCTTAGGAATTGATCAATAATAAATAAAATTATCTTCAAAAAATCTATCATAAAAGGCATTGCAAGAGATCTTCAGATACCTTCAAAAAGATATGAAAACCACTGAATATATACTTTCAACTTAATCCATATGATAAATTAATGATCCATTCTCATGAATTCAATAATTATAAACTTTAAATTTTCATCAAAGAAGTTGTTACTCATATAAATCTTGAAATTAAACCATAATATCTTTCGAGAAATGATATAATGAGATTCAACTAATTCAGATTAGCTTATCAGACCCCTTCAGATATTAGGGTTTTCAACATCAAGAGTAGATATATGTAAGAAATTACTAAAACTTAGAAGTATATAATGAATTCAATAATAAGAATCATATTCTAAATTCGTATTTGCGTATAATTAAACCAAACAAACAAATTGAAAAGATCGAGAACATGTAGAGGGCAAGATACAAAAAAATTAAAATAATAAAACCAACTTTATTTAACTAAGTCTTACAATAAAACATAGTTTACATATATTGTTCACTCCTCATATAAAAAATCTAACTTCACTAGCATTTTTCATCATAACCACCAAAAGTAATTATTTCAACTACACTTGTTAAAAAAATAAAAAAAAACTACTCAATTTTTTCATCATCTTCTATAAATGGAAGATGACAAATAATAATTATTAGTCATCAAAGTAGCATCTTTTGATGATGACACACTTTGAAATTGTTTATTATTACAAGAACTACATTTTATTATCTTCATGACATGTGATGATGATGATGAAGAAGAAGCACAAACACTTTGTCTAATTTCCATTGCCTTAGCCATTTCATGATTGGCTAATTCAATCAAACACTTTGCTTCTTGTCTCTTCTCTATAGCCATTGCCTTTTCTTCCATTGCTAATTTGAGGATTTCATTTGCTTCACTTTTCAATCTTGATACTTGTGTTGTTGCCTCTTCAACGATTTCTTTGACTTCATTATTGTTTTGGACTATGTAATTATTATTATTATGATGATGAACATGATCACTTTGACCAACAAATGATGACAAATGAGAATAATTGTGTGTGTTTTGGTTATAATAATTTGGAGAAGTGAAAAGTTCAAGATCAAGATTAGGCAATATTCTTGAATATTGATCATGTGAGATATGAGTAGTAGTAGTTGTTGTAGTAGGCAAGAAAAATGGTTTTGGTATTTGCACATCATGGCATTCTTTAGAAGTTGTACTTTGTGGTTTGCATGAATCTTGATGCTCAATAAATGTTTCAACTCTGAAAAAGAAGCAATAAAAATGGGAGAAAAAAAAGTAGATTAATTAGAAGAAGGTATTTATATATATATATATATATATATATAGAAAAACATACTATAATTCAAATTCACTATCAGAAAATCGCTAATTTTTTTATTAAAAATATTTCCAATGAAATCTATCAAAATTCGACTCGTTAAGCCAAATTTTGACATGATATCTGTCAAAAATTAGTGATTTTCTGATAGTAGTATTCATGTTTTTAACTAAAAGATAGTGATTTTATCATCATATATTATATATATTATATATAAATAAGGAAGAGATTTTCAAAAGTGAGCACACTAAATATGTAGTACCTTTACAAGACATATTCATTAGGTTTTAACACTAAAGATGTTACCAGTTCAAGTAACATGGTAATCTCATCTTGATATATGTGTATAATATATATAAGATAGTATAAATTTTATTTTTTACGCTATTAAGTCACCTAAAAGATACTTACAAATAATCATTCATACACAAAAAAAAATTTACAACAAAGAAAAAAGAAGAAGGAATTACGACTATCAATTTCTATCGCTAAACAATGAAAATTCATCGTTTGCTAATTAATTCTATTTAACGACATACCAATGACATTTTACAACGAGACGATCTTATTAGCTACAAACTATTTAGTGATAGATTAGCCAGCAACAAATTTCGTAGTTAATTCTTAATTTTTTTAATAGTATGTTTAATATAACCTAGAAAATAAGACATGTTAACTAATTACCTCATGCAACAAATTAAGATACACTGATAAAAATTACAACAACAACTTCAATGTAATTTCACAAGTAGAATCTGAATAGGACGTAGTGTGTATGCAACCTTACTCCTATGAAGATAAGTAGACTGTTTCTTCTAAACCCTCGACTCATATAAAACATAACACAGATATATAAATGGATAAAATTAAGAAGATGAATTTACCTAGAGAAAACTCTTCCACAATCACAAGAATGGCCTCTAGTACCACAAGTTTTGATGTGAGCTTTATAATCTGATTGAACAGCATAACCTTTGTTGCATTTTTGACAAATCCATTGTTTGTAATTACTATGTTTTCTTCTAAAATGTTTTTTGATTCCAACAAGATCACCTAGTGCATGACAAGGATCATGGTGCACACAACTTGGCTCTGGACACACATATACTCTCTTCTTAATCACTTGATCCATCTCATTTTTCTCTTCTTCCTGATCACGTTGAAAATATAATTAAGTAAATAAAATTATATTTCTGATTTATAACAAAAAAATAAAAAAATTGACATATATAATCATATAATCTAACATGCTATTTTATATTTGTTCCAATTTATGTGACTATGTTTGACTGAGGACTACAGTCTAAAAATGAAAGACTTTTGAAAATTGTTGTCGGAAACTAAGCCTTAGAAATTTATGTGGTTATTATAAATCATTTCAATAAGAATAAACAGAGAAATTTAATTAAAAATGAATTACTATTTCTAAATATTGAAATGTGTCGTTCTTGTTAAAAAAAGAAGAAAGAAGAACTTCATGACTTGCACGTGAGGAGATGTGTTGAAATATATGGTATAATTTAGTAAATTCTTAAAATTTTATTCTTATCATATCTTTCTCGGCCTTGTGGCTAAGATCAAGTGTAACATCTGTTCTTATCAGCTTAGTATCTAATATGTGAATTGTCGATCCACACATGATATTAACTCAATTTTCAAAAGGGGAAGACCACCGCTCATTAAAAGAAGAACTTGTGTTCTATCGAACAGTTTAAGATTTTAGATGAGACGATATTGATGACGTAATTATACATAAATTAAATACCTTCTTCTTCAACTTCCATGGAACCTTATGGCGACGACGATGCATTTGAAGATTTTGCTCTCTTTGAAAGCTAAGATTGCAGATTTCACAAACGTAACGATCAGATTCCATTAACATCTCAGCTGTTAGATACACAACTTGTGCATCGGGATCTGTGCAAATTTGTAAATTCAATTACGAGTTCAACAGAATTCAGTAGTATTCCAATATAAGTCGAACAACCCTAAACATATGTGTGTTAACAATAGTAGCGGAGCCAGTAATTTTAACTCGTGAATTCCAAAAAAAACACGAAGCTTAAGAAAATTCAATAATTAAATTTATACAGTATAATTTTCAGACGAAAGGGGTTTTATCAACCAAACCTCTTCCTTAATTGCCTTTAGCTCCGCCCTTGACTATATCGATAAGGTTAAATAATCATAACCCAACTTTCTCATCTATAACGTTTAAAATATTGAATTAAAAAACACAAGGTCGGAATAGAGAGAGCCAGAAGGAGGTCATCTGAATTCTTTTCGTCAAAAAATTACACTGTATATGTAAAAGATAGATAATGAATCTTTTGATGAAAATTCTTCTCTGCCACTGACTAAACATGAATTTAGAGTTATAATGGACACACAAGAGCTAAAATTCAAGTGTTCCACAACATTATCTCACATATGAGGAAAAAAAAAGTACCATTCTTCATATATTTATGTAAATTAAAGTAAAGAAAATATACAAATTAATTAATTAAAAAAATATATACCTGGAGTACCAGCAGGTCTTCTTTTTCTTTTGATAATAAAACCATTTTCTGGAGAAGAAAATGGATCAGAATAATTAGAAGGAGCACCAAACAAGAAAGAGTTGCTAGTTAGCATGGAGAAAGAGAGAGAGAGTGAGAGAGAGAAAGAGATATATTCAATATGATGAAATGTTGTTTTTTTGCTTCTTAGCTTTTTGTATAATAGATAAATAGAAGAGGAGAACCAGTAAAATAAAACCATTATATATATAGTACGATAACAATATATTTGATGTAATCGCATAGGTAGTACGATAATAATATATTTAGTATAATTGTGCGATTGGTTGAAATATGTGTACCCTTAGAAAGGGTAGGTGTATGCAAATTTATCCTTACCATTATATAGTACGACAACAATATAGTCAGTGTAATCACACAACTGAAATATGAAAAGGGTGGGTATATACAATTTTATCATTACCAATATATAGTATGCCGGTAATATATTCAGTGTAATTGCACAACTGAAATATGAAAACAGTGGGTGTATGCAATCTTATAACTAGCAATATATAGTACAACAATAATATATTTAGTATAATCGCATGACTGGTTGAAATTTGTGTTCCCCTAGAAAGGGTAGGTGTATGCAATTTTATCCTTACCAATATACACTACAACAAATATGATATATAGCTACGAAATTATTAACCACGACATCAAATTTGTCACTAAATGTTTGCTTTTAGTGACAAAATTTACTTTTCGTTCTTAAATATATGAGACACATACTTTTAGTGACGAAACATAAAAATCCATAGCAAAGTTTTGTCCACTAAAGTTTTCCACCAAAGAATTAATTGGCGCCATTTGTTAAGTAGTGTTAGTCACAAATTTAAAGTTATTAGTGACACATTATTTCGTCACTAATAATGTATCTAATTCATGACAAATTATTTTGTCTTAAAATTTATTAATTTTTTGACACAAAAAAGTTTCATCTAAAAAAGAATGTTGTTACAATATTAACAAATTTGAGTTCGTAGTTAAATATTATAAGTTTTAGCTATACAAATTTAGATTTAATTATGACATTTATTTTCGTCACTAATTATACAAATAATTGGTGACAAAGATTTTATTGTCTCTAATCAATCTGTAATTTAGTGACAACAAAAAAATTGTCACAAAATATGTAAGGTGTTAAATAGCGACGACTTAAAATTTGTAGGGAATAATTCAACTATTTGCTATGAAAAAAATTCATAGCTAAATACAATATTTTTGGATACAATTGTTCATAATTACAAGTGACAACTTACAAAAAGAATAATACAAGTACTTCATAAGAAATAGACAGAGTCCATTCGTTAATTGGCGAGCGAAAATATTTAAACCAACCAATTCGATTGATTTTGTAAAAATGAAAAAGTTCAATTCATAATTTTTTTAAAATTATGCAATTATAAAATGCATCATTTGAAAAATACAATCCAGGTTATAAGTACCGTGAGTGGGGTACGGTTCTACCACTATATTGCTAAGATTTGTTGGCTTAAAACTTTTGTTTTTTATTTGATATACTTTCATCGATAAAGACGATAGAAAGAATAATATCTCAAGTCTTGGTGCTAAATTTTGTGCGTGTCTATTGATTTGTGATTGGTAAACTGCATAGACTAAGTCGATCTATTTGTTTCTGCCTAAAAATATGTACATATTTAATAGTAATTCCACATACGTACGTAGAGCAACTATATAGAGATAACATCGACTTACAAACTTAGACTTTGCAAAGGTGCCAAATATTTCATTAATTTCTTTTAACTTTTTCATCAGTGTGAAAATTGAAATAAACTAAGAAATAAATACACAAATGAAAGAAATGAACCAACTAGGATTTCAAATATATTATGATGAATTACTATATTTATGGGTATCGATGTGTTTTTCAAAAAAATTATTTTGTTGATCGAACTGAACCGATTATTCAATTTTTTAAAATAAAATCGAAAGTTTAATTTTATATAATTTTATAATTATACTGAATAATTTATAAAATTTATAAAAATAAATAAATAAAATGACAGAATTGTATGGAATATATTAAAAGAAATTTAAAAAAATATGCAGTTTAATTAAAATATAATCTACATTTGAATGAATTGTGGGTGGTAAATTTCATGCATTTGTGTATGTGTATAAATAATCATATACTCCCTCCGTCCCAATTTATGTGGCACTTTTCGGATTACGAGATTCAAACAAGTCTATCTTTGATCGTAAATTTTTCATACATCTTTTAAATATTTTGAATTGTCAATTATTGAGTCTAATAGTACTTTTTACGTAGTTTATAAATATATAAATTTCATTTCTAAAAAATTGAAGATTCCATGCGTAAATTGCCGGTCAAACTTAAACTATTTGACTTTTGAAAAACGAAAAGTGCCACATAAATTGGTACAAAGGGAGTAATATATTATTTCTACAGAAGTTAAATTTGAAAGAAATGAATGAAGTTAAAAATAAAATAAAAATGAGATACAAGAGAGAGTTGATCGGATGGTAATCTAGCACTCTCACTTCCAACTTTAAGGTTGCGAGTTCGAGTCCCCAAGAAAGCATAATGTGGGAGCTGCTCCTGGGGAGGGTCTTAAGGTTGTGAGTTCGAAGCATAATGTGGGACTCCCTCCTAGGAGGGGTTAAAAAAAATTGAGATCATAGGAACATTAACTTTTTTTGTAATAATAAATTTATTCCTAATTAATACATTTAAGAACAAATTATTTTTTTTATAGAAAATATAGTCATTAGCGACGAAATTAGATTTTGTTCAACTACAAAATACATATAACTTTAGAGACAATTGATGTCATCACTGATTGAAGTAAAATAATTAGCGACGACATAATTTTGTCGGTAGTAATAATCTTTTTAGTGACAAAAAATACAATTAACTACAAAAAATATACTTTTTACGACAAATAAATTTGTCACAAATGTTTAAGAATTTGGGGACGATTTTTCTTTTTGTAGTTATATAATACTTTCAGCGATGAAACTGTCACGACCCAGACCGTCGTGATTGACACCCACACTAACACTCCGATGGGAGAACCACTACTACAACCCAAACCAAACAACTAATCCAAAACTAAGGCATTTAAGCATAGGAAAGTAGAAATAATAGCTAAAAACGGAAGTTCCCATAAACTTCAACAAAAGATCTAACAACTAACAACTAACAATGTGGAAGAATAACCTAGAACCTGAAAGTCAATGTACCCAAACATTCTAACAATGAACCAAGTCTAAACAAGAAAGGGATACAAACCCAACTAATGAACTAATCAACTAGCTAAAACAAATGTCTAAGCCCGGAAATGGTGGACATCGACGAAAGAGAATCCCACGGCAGCCAAAAGAATTGGCTCACCCTTGAATTCTAAGCGACGATCATTGATCTTCTAAGAGAGGTCTGTCAGTAACCGCTTGAAGATGCCCTGTACCTCAACAAAAATAAGAGCAAGTGCAGTATCAGTACACAACCACAGTGTACTGGTAGGATCACACGGCTATCCCACTAGTGCAACATAAACAAGTCAAACAACATTATAATCACATGCATATATATCAACATATACAACATTATCAACATTTACGAACAACGAGCAACTTCACATTTTATATCAAATCATTGGTCCTCTTATGGAACACAAACAGTTACCATGCCGGAACGTGGCAATCGATCCCATATTTAAGCTGGAACTGACAACCGATCCCATTTTATGCCGGAACGTGACAACCGATCCAAGTTAGTTATGCCGGAACGTGGCAACCGATCCCATTCACACACCACAATCACAATCACAAGTATATCATAAAGATCATACAATTAAGTCATGGCATTCATCAATTCTCTATCTCATTTACAACAAGTGTGATCAGCATTGCAACATTCATACATATACAAGTATCATAATGAAGCAAGAACAATCATACATCACATAATCATAGAATCACAACCATCACCTACCTCAAAACAAGCTTGAAACCCTAAGAAACTTGATCCTTCCCTTTTCGGATTCATTTCGCTTGTTCTTGATCTACAAACAATTACAATAACACTGGAATCAACAAACAATCGCTAATTACCCGAAACTATAACAATTCTCAGAACCCTAGATCAAACCCATGATCCAAATCATCCAAATTAGGGTTGTTTCCACCATAGAATCTATAAAAAAATCCTTCCCCATCAATATTCACCCATTCTATTACGTTCTACCGATCGAAAGACTGATTCGGGGAGTGAAAAACTTACCTTTAGCCTCAAGAATGATGAAAAACGAGTAGGAGTTGCCTGAGGGTCGTTCCTTAGCTCAAAAAGTCAAAAAGTGCACAATGAGGTCGTTTAGGGATTTATTAACGACTTTAATTCACGTCGGGCCCGCCACATCGGCGACGCCAGAGCGGCAAAAGCCCCCGCCAAAGCGGCCAGAACGAAACATATAGCTATTTCAAGAATTCCAAAATTCTCATTTCACAACACACCTCTAACCCGCGATGATAAAAAAATACCCTTTACTCTAAGATCAATTCCAAGAGTTCTACTCGCCCGAATTCAATTTCGTAAAGTCGTACGGATTTCTTAGCGAGTTATGTAACTACTCATGTAATCAAAATCATAAGTGATTCACCCGATTGTTACCAGATTTCCCTACACCTCAAAGACTCCGATTTCATCCAAATATGGACAAGGTTTGGAAAATCCAATTACTACGAAAAAAATTTCCGGCCCCAAATTTTCCCCCGTTGACTTTTCTATAACGACGGAATCAGGTCGTTACAGAAGCACTAAATTGTATTTGTATACTTTTAGCGATACACATTTAGTGACGAATAATTGACCAATTATTTTTCGTCTCACAACATTTTTAGTGACGAAATATGATTTATAAATGATGAAATTTAATATATTCAGTGTAATAGCATAATTAAAATAGATACGAAGATAGTGGGTGTATGCAATATTTTAAGTACTATCAATATATAGTATGGCAATAATATATCTAGTATAATCGCATGACCGGCTAAAATATGTGCACCCCTTGAAAGGGTAGGTGTATGCAATTTTATCCTTAACAATATATAGTAGGACAATAATATGTTCAGTGTAATCGCACAATTG